AATGGATGAACATTTTTCTTGGGTCTAACTTAGGATTTTGGAGAGGTTGCATGTTCAATAGCCAAATTCAAAGAAATTAAAGACATCAGATTCAAATTTAAGAATGACCCAATCAGATTGGGTGAAATTAGTGCAAAATCGAAGCAATCTGAAATTGTTGAGGGAGGTGACAAAGATCAATACGATACTAGTTCAAGTAAGAAGAGGAAAGGAAAAACAATTGTATATTAGCCATTAGGTTAATATACAAACTTATTGTATAAAGCAATTGTATATTAGAATTGTTTCTAGCTCATTGGAGCAAGATGAACATGAATAAGTTCAGGTATTGGTATAATCATTAATTTGTATATGTTACAATTGTATATTAGTCTTATATTTTCTCTGTAAATTTTTTCCCTATATCTATTTGTTTATACAAATATGTACATCCGTTAGGTTTAATATACAAACTTATTGTATAAATAGCAGTAGTTATTATAACAATTTTACCATACATACAATATTAACAATTATACAATTGAAATGTTTTGTATAATATATAATATCCATATAAAACATGTTTATGTTATATTCAGATAAAATTAGTGTTATACATAATGACTATATGTACATTTTTATATGTTTATTTATACAAATCTATATTTTATTAGCCATTAGGTTTAATATACAAACTTCCTCCATTAATAGAAGTACAATAATCTCACTATATATACAATATAAACGATTATACAATTGAAATGTGTTGTATAATGTATAATCTTATTTATAAAACTTGTATAGGATAAATTGAATCAAATCTTATTTTATACAATTCGCTAACTGTATTTGTGTCATATTTATACACAGTAAGTCATAGTTATGTATATATGTATATTTGAGTAAAACTGTATATGTATTGTTTTTCAGGGTGTTAAATTTCTAGGCAAACGTGTACCCAGTTACAATGGAGCCACTACTGATGAAGAAGTCGTAGAAGGAAAGAGATGTTTTTGTGCGAGTTTAGCGATTGTCTTCCTTTTTTGTAACAGAATTTACAGTCTTTTATTAAATTTATATAAAATAAAATTGTATATAGCTTCGAATGAATCCTGAAATATACAGATTAATAGCTCTATAAAAAACATAAAATTTGCTATAGAGCGCAATTATGCAAACTATAACTATAAGATACAAATATAATTTTTATGTTTGTTATATGTGAAAGTTGCTCATTAAAATATCTAGTAAAAGAAAGAGAATTTTGTAGGACATAAAACTATAGATCCCACAGCAGAAAAAAATAAAAGTGATTTTAGTGGAATTTTCTCAAATTGAATAACCATGGAGGCTAGAAAAATTCAAAAGTAACTATCACGATATCTTTTCAATATTTGGATGACCAGATAATTAGGAAGAAAAATTCAAAATTGACTTTAGCAAGATCTTGTTGATACTTAGATGACCATATAAGGAAGAAAAACAAAACAAAAGTAATTTTAGTGAGATCTTCTCGATAGTTGAATGACCATATAAGGAAGAAAAAAATCAGAAACTGAGATCTTCTTGATACTTAGATAAACATTTGAGGAATAAAATTTCAAAGTAATTTTAGTGAAATCTATTCAATATTTGAACGACCATATAAGGAAAAAAAACTCAGTAATGACTTTAGTGATCATATAAAGAATTTAAGATTGACTTCAATAGAATTTTCTCTATATTTAAATGACCATATAAGAAGAAGAAAAAAAAGTCAAAATAACTTTGGCGGGATCTTCTCAATAATTAAATGATTATATATAAAATATACTTGATCTTATGTAGCTATTAACAAAGGTAAAAGTTATTTAATTATTTTTGTCACAAAAAAATTTACAAGGAGTTTAATCAAAAGTTTTTGCATTTTACTCATCATGTTATATATTGTCAATAACTGTCCAACTGCAACATCATTGCTTTAGTTCGAGGTTCATAATATTAATAGTCTCCCATTTAGTGAAACGTCTTTATGGTATCATTATGCATCTGGAGAAACAAATACTTTTAGTGGAGGATGACTATTATTTTTCATTTGAAATGAATGTTTTTAAAAGTACCCTTTATTTTTGTCATTTTTGGTGGGGCGAAAAAGAAAACGTATTAGATGTTTTTAATAAGCACTAATTGTTTGATAATTGGTTGATAATTGTTTGGATACGGGAACTCGTTATTGTATCTAGAAAATACGCGAAGATGTTTTTATATGGGCCATGAGCTTGATCAACTACATCTGATGTATTGAAATTTGTACGATTGAGAGTAATATCAATATTAATGTGGTCATTTAGTTATTGTGTTATATACTTCTTTTTCATTTTTATTTATCAAATTTTATTTCAATATAATAAAGTAAAAATTAACCGATCAACCATGAAATCAACCTTTTTTACGGGTTGGCACCACTCATAAAAAGCTTTTTACGATTTAGTTACTAATTTGATTTGAGTATAAAATAAAGGATCTTGTTAATTTTGAGGATCAGTAACTTTTAAATTCGTACTAATCGAATAATTCATCTATTAGATGCTTGAATAAAATTTATTATAATTTAAATTATGTAACAAATAATTAGTTGACATGACTCATTAAACCTCATAATATACGCATATATGCCAGTTATATCTTTGCAGTACTTCAAAATTTGGATTCATTTCATATCAAGTTGGAGTTATGAATGGGTCAATAGTATTTCTTTTTCCCCGGTAAGCATCTTTAGTTAATATACTTAAAATGAGTCCGAAGCTAAAAGGGTCATTTTTTTCCTTCAAAAAATAAAAACGACACATCAAAAAAAATTTAATCAAAAGGACGAAATCGCTCTTGACGGAGCGATTTTCTTCTGACAAAATTTGACCGTTAAAAGAAATAAAAATCGCTGCCTTCGGCAGCGATTTTTTCAAAAAAAAAATCATTATTTCTTTAAAATCGCTGCTATAGTAGCGTTTTTATATTAAAAAAAAAACTAAAAGTGAAATCACTGCTATAGCAGCGATTTTTTGTTAAGGAATTAAAAAAAACACATAAAGAACAAGTTTTAAATTACATAAATTTCCGGCGGCAGCCATTTTAAAAAAAATAACAAGTTTTTTAAAGAAAAAATCGCTGCCAAGGCAGCGATTTTCAGTTTTAATTTTTTTTTAAAATTTCGTTAAAATCGCTGAAAGGGTAAAGATTTTTTTCAAAAAAAGCTTTTTATGAAAATCGCTGCCTTCAGTTTTTATTTTTAGTAAATTCTCTGCAAGGGTAGGATTTTTTTTTAATATAAAAACAATGCTATAGCAGCGATTTTAAAGAATTTTTTTTTTTGAGAAAATCGCTGTTTTTTGTCAGAACAAATTTTACCCTTTTGGTTTTTTTTTTTTTGATGTGCCCTTTTTGTATTTTGAAGAAAAAAAATTGCCCTTTTAGCTCAGTACTCTACTTAGAATCAAATGACTAAATTTCACTTTTTGTGTATCTAAAATTAGTCTAAGTCTTATCTTACATAACACAAAAAAAACAAGAAATTAATAAATAAATAAAAAGTAGTTAACAATAAAAATATAATATGCAATTTTTAGCTATAATTTGCTTATTTACAATTCGTAACTACAAGTTAGAAGGAAGAAAAATGAAAACGAAATTGGAATAGAAAGGAGAGAGACGAGCGAGAAAGGAGAGAGACAAATTGAATTTATATATTTATTGAATAATTGTATATATATAACTAATATGTATTTGTATTAAAAAATGCAATTGTATACAATTTGTATTTGAATACAATATGTATCAACTTCAAGTATATTAATGAAATGGAATTTATATCAGCAAATGCAATTGTATCAATGTTATATTTCATAATTAATTGCATTATATTCATGTTTATTTGTGTGCATTTGTTGTCATGTGTGTTTGTATTTTATATCACTTATAAAAGAGAACATTCATCTTGTCATTTGTATTTGTTGCCTTATGTGTTTGTATTTTTATTTATCCTCATATTTGTATTTGTATTCATTTGTTACCATGTGTATTTGTATTTTGTTTCACTGAAAAGAATTTGTATAGTGATATTTATTATTATAATTGTATCATTGACAGTTAATATTTGTATTTGTATTATTGACCGTCAATTTTTGTATTTGTAGTGAGAGAGAAAGGTGGAGGTGAGAGAGATGGAGAGATAGAAAGGCGAGTGAGAGAGGGAAAAAAGAGAGGAAGAGATAAAATGACTTAAAATCTTAATTATAACTACAAATTATAATTTTTTAAATTACAGTGATACATAATAGAGAAAATATCAGAAATAACAAACATATAATAGACATAATAAAGCTCTATAGCTATAGTTTTGATAATTGCGCTCCATAACTATAATTATGTTTGTCATGGAGGTTGTCGTTTGTACATTTCTGCCTATTTGTTTATTTCGCTTGCGAATATACAAATATTATTAGTATATGCAAATTTTGTATTTATATATATAGGAATTTTTCAGAAATCTGTTTGTATATTTCGTTTGTCAATACACAAATATGATAATTTATTACGATTTTTTCATAAAACTTATACAAATAGCTATGATAAATATATACAAAATTCTGAATTTATACAATTAGAAACCAAATTATACAAATTTCAAATTCATACAAATCTAACGAATTATACAAATCAGGCAAATAGCAAAATTAGAAAACTGTAATCACGAATTACAAATTTTCTGGAACAGTAGCTTTAATATCTAATATAGGCTAAATTTTTTTTATTATAAATTATTTTCCTTAAATAATAAATACATATCACATATTTAAGTCACGTTACTATGTGATTTTTCCATTTTATTTTAGTGGGCTTCCTCGGAGATAATAGAAACAAATTGAGGTAGGGATAGTACACTAAAAGCCCACTTCTGACATTGACCTCTTTTCCAGTACCCTAATAATATATATATTTCTTTCCTCCACGTTTATATAATTTTCCATATTCATCTCCTCCAAAACATTTCCTAATGGCGACAGCACCATTGATAATCTTCACCATTTTTGCTCTTTTTGGAGTTTCCTCTTCAACGGCGGCAGCAGAAACTCCGTTTGTAGTGGCTCACAAGAAGGCTTCACTCCTCAAGCTCAAGTCCGGTACCGAACGGGTCTCCGTTTCCATTGACGTCTATAATCATGGATCTCTGTAAGTACTCCTTGCTCTTTCCTTATAGCTTGCATTTGTTGTTGTTTGAACAATCTAATTCTTTTTTATTTGTTTACAGTAGAATGGATTAACTCCTGTTATAAACCTTTAAAATGAGACCGTGAATTTCACAGAGAAATTGGGGATCAATTCATTTTTTTTTATTCTGAATGCGTTACATTCATTGCTCAGCTAGAATCGTTAGTGCAAAAAGTTTCTGCCAATTTGGTCTTCTTTTTTTTTTCTGCGGATTTTCCGATTTTTTTAGCTTGATTGAATGAATTGTGTCACTCTAATTAAAATTGTATGATTTGTTATGATGTCCATGTCCAATTTTTATGATTTTACAATATTTTAATGAGAAGTATATTCTGTGGCCTAGTGGTCATGAAGTGGTTGAGAATCGCGAGTTTTCAGGTACAATACACAGGTCTTTTCTGCCGAGACAAAAAAACACTAGGTGATTTTTTCCATCTGTCCTAACCTTGGTGGATAGAGTTACCTAATACCACTCGCTGGTGGGAGGTGGCACATATCCTGTGGAATTAGTCGAGGTGCGTGAAAGGTGGTCAAGACACCACAGTCATCAAAATAAAAAAACGTTCCTAGATTGTTTTTAGGTCTAAGGTTTTGGTGAGTACAAAAGGAGGTCTGTGATAATCATTATAGGTGGAGGATATCATACAAGAATGGCGGTGATATTTTTGAATTGTAGAGGTTGAGAACAACAATATGTGATGGTTGGAGCAAGAGATCGGAAGTAAGAATTGGAAAGGGATCCTTCATACATAAGTGATGAAAGTTACTTTTCTATTTTGAAAGAAAATATTGTCCTTGGAGAAATCATATAGAACCAAATAACGGAAAATAGTTTTATCAAGGAAAACATATTTCGGCATACCAGTCAAACTTTGGGTTCTTCCCTTAGCTTGTACAAATGGTTTTCCCTGAATCCCAATTCCTTTAAGCATTTCATGGATGTTTGTCATATTTGTTCTACTTGAACCCAAAAACAATGATGGAAATGACAAATCAGCAGATAAAACTTGCAGGGGTAAATCATGTTGTTGAATTGCAGGCAGTAAAAAGTACTCTAGATCAGTATCATATTTGTTTTGGTGTAACTATGCTTTCCAAGTAGCAAATATTCCTACATGCTCTACTAATTCATCATTTGTTGCTTTGGAGGTTGTACGGTCTTAGGGCTCTGGTAATTTGTCAATAGTCACTTCTGCATCTTCTTTTCTTTAATCGTTCTTTCTAGTTGTACTGGAGAATTTGAACTGTGATCCTTCTGGCTATTCATAAAATATTGCTCTCGAATGGATAAACATATTTTCATTTTACACTACATTCTATGATCTTTGCCGATCTGCATTACTTAATTTACATAGTTTCATATTGTTCTCCTATTACAATTTTAAACATGTATGCAGCACCTACCACAGATCAATTTCCCACATGTCATGTCCTTCTGTAGTAAAGGATACTTGGCTGATATTGTACTCCAGTTTACTTGAGTGGGTGTGCGTTTGTGGTTGTAATCATGCATATCTACCACTAGGTCCTGTTCTTTAAACGTTTTTTGGAAGGATGATAAGTTTAGTCTATCTGAAGAAACTTCATATATCTTTTCTGAATTTATGCAGTGCTATATATGATGTAAATCTTACTGATGATAGCTGGTCCACAGAAATATTTGATTTCGTGGCTGGAAACACGTCCAATTCATGGGAAAAACTTGATGCGTAAGTGAAACCCTTTGTATATTTAAAAACTTGTATTCACATCCTGTTTCTTTAGCCTCTCAAATCTTGCTCTAGTTTGTTTTTTTTAATTCACTATTTTTCTTTTGTTGTATGTAATTGGCAGTGGCTCTCATGTTTCACACACTTTTGAGTTGGAATCCAAAGTGCAAACAACTTACTACAGTGCACCTGCTGTGATAACTTTTCGCATCCCTACAAAATCAAAACTACAGGTTTGATTAGTAGAAGATCTGTTAAGAACCTATTTGTAGCCTTGAGCCTTCACCGTTCTATTTTCACAACTCTATTTTTGCTTTGTGTTGACTATTTTGCAGGTAGCATATTCCACCCCTGTTCCTGCACTAGAAACCTTAGCAGAAAAAACTGTTGCCTACAAATTAGATTTGGTAACTTTGCCCTCCTAACACAAGCATGAGATATGGTTTCCTTATAATTGTGTTGTAAACATTTCTTGCTGTTCTGACTAAAGATTGTTTCTTCTTTTACCAATCGGGATGTTTTGGACTGGCTGCTCACTCTCAGGCAAAGGTAACTTGAGACATCTTCTTTATTCTATTCCATTTGTTCACTAATCAAAATCTCTCACCAGTTTCACTGGCACAAAACAGAAAAAGCAAGTAAGGTTCTAATAAGTACCTTCCTGTTAGTTTGTAAGGATAAGTTGTTTCAGAAATTGCTGTATATATGCTAGCAATTAAATTTACCTTATTCCTAGAACGAAATATAGACATTGATATAACAGGAGGCTCGGGAGACCGCGAGCGTAATATACGCTACCATCGGAGAGACTTTAACCACATCTAAATCTGAATGAGGTGTTCAAGAAAGTCCTCCCCTGGAAAAAAAGAATATACATCAATTACCTGTGCCCGGGCTATGGTCTAGCCGGAAACAAAAGTTTTGTATTTAAATAAAGAAGAGTAGAGAGGCTGGCCCATTATCTAGCGAGTTTCAAATTGTGTGTCAGAATCTCAAAGATTTCTCGGTTAATATTTTGGTTGCCAAGTTGATGTGGAAATCTCTTTTTAATAGTAGTTGTTTTCTTTGTGCAGAAGTTGCTTGCACAGTATGGATCCCATTTTTCTTTAGGTCTCATCGTCTATTTGTTCGTGCGAATTATATTTAGTCCATCAGCTAAATCAAGTGCTGGAAACGCAAAGAAAAGACACTGATCGTTCATCAGCTGTAGCAAACTTCTCTTTTGTAGATGCAAGGCCTCATACCTGATGCAGAACTTGGAAGGAAAACATTTCAGTGTGATAACTCGTACAAATTCGTGTAATTGCATTTTGATGAACTGAAATGTATCGGTGGATGATTTCACTTGGGCTATATGAAATTTTCTAAATGTCTTGCTAAATATATTCAAGTTACTTTAATTACATGTAAATCTTATTGAGATGCCTAATCAATTAAATAAAAAATTACTTTTATGTATTTAAAGCATTGAAATTGTAGTATCATAGTTGTAACTGTTAATCTTCGATACTAATAACGTGAAGGGTTTAAAACCAGTCTCACTTTACTGTTGTGGCATTATGCTAATCAAAGGTTTTAGGGCATAATTACGAATATTGAGGGGAAAATACTGTTTCTCAAACAAGTCTCTGATTTTCAAAAAAGAAAAAAAAAATGTTTTAAGTGGTACTAAACTGCTAATGCAACACAATGCCTTATACTCCACCTCAAAAATACGGAATTCAGATGAACTCGATATGGTGATAGCATCACTTTGCATCCGCCTCTGACCACCATAACCACTCTTTTCATTTTCATTTTCATTTTCCGTCTAGTATTGAGCAAAAAATAGTAATGAAGCAAAAATATAAAAATTTCAATCAATAAGATGAGAAATCTTAGCCTATGAAGAAATTTTACTAAGAATAGAACACATATAGTAAGTGAGTTAAGATAAATATTCATCAATACATGATCTCATTAGATAAATTGCTACTACTCCAAAAAAAAAAATTTGAAATACATTGAAAATTATGTTGAAGCATTTCCTAAGAACAACTAAACCTAAAATAAATTCATGTATACATAGTTTGGTAGGCGGAGCCACCTTATAATAAGGGGGTTCATCCGAACCCCCTCGGCGGAAAATTATATTATTTATATATGATTAAAATAATTTTTTAGGTAGATATAGTAGATGTAGAACCCCCTTCGACTATTTCGTGTGTCTATATTTTCAGATTTTGAACCCCTTATTTAAAATTTTGACTCTGCCACTATATATATGAAGTTTTTATGATAGTAGTTCATATTATTCATTGCATTCACAAATTATCTATAGTAATAAGTGCGAAATTAGTTCTATAATAAAGATATAATTTATTATTTGAATATATTCAACTGGTCAAATGTGGTTATAAATAACCTTAAAAAAACACAAATTTATATATATAGATTTTTATTAAAGATAATTTCATATTCAAAGCTCAAATCTAAAACATCACAACAGTTGTTTTTGACAAGGAGAGGGAGTAATTAAACCTCCAACAAATTTTACGTATTATTTTTAAAATCAAGGACTAGTTTTAAGCAAATTTTGTGTATTTTTTAAATATTGAACTGTCAAAAGAAGAAAAAATACTCCCTCGATCAAAATATTGTTACTCTTAATTTTTTATAGAAATCGGTCTCAATATTATAATTTATAGCCACACAAATATTACACCTTCCATCAAAGTTTAATTTTGTTGTGAGGTATATTTTTAATTTCATATTAATTGACCCACATAAATCTGATAAATCTTTTTTAATATACAAATCAAGTAAAATAAAACGGAGAAATAAAATAAATGAAAAAGATGCAATCGGTGATGGAGCCAGCCATGCATATGGAACCAACTATTGTCTAATCTATGATCCTGCATACGTGGCATACATCTAGAAGATATATATAATCCATCTTCCACTCCTTCGAAGTTTCCAAAAGTTTCTCACTCTCTGCCTGCCCTCACTTTGTTTTCATACAAACTCCTCAAATAAATTTTGCCTTCCACATTTCTTCTTTCAGATTTCTTTTCATATAAAATCGAACCCTACTCCTTAATGTGCGCATTTTTCTTCCCCAAACCCTAACCGGTGTTCTCAATGTCTGAGCATCAATCACCGGACGACGGCGGAGAAATGGAGGCACATGACAACGTCGGCTCCAAGCGTTACCGTCGACCCAGCGTCAGGTTAGGCGACATTGGCGGTGACCATTCTTCTTTCGACCAACGGAAACCCAAGTCTCTCTGGAAGGACTCATCCAAGAATAATCGCCATCGTACAAATTTATCAAGTAATCAAACTCTAACTCTTGTTGATACTAACCCTAATGAAAGTAGCAATTCTAGGAAAAAATGGAGTAATGTTGATAAAGAGGATGTCGGGGATGCGAATTTGGATGATGTTACGATTGGTAGTTGGAAGATTAGGAATTTGAAATCTAAGAAGGGGCTAGTGACTAAGAAGATGAGGTCGGGTTGGACTCCCAAAGTTAATGATAGTGAAAAAGATGACAAAATGCCCAGTACTGATGTCGAAGATTTGGAGAATAATGAACACAGCCCAGTTCATTCCCATGACAATAACAAAACTAATGATAATGTGAACATGAGCACCATTGACATTGATAGGAGAATTGATAATGTGAATAGTAGGAAGAGGGCAATTAGGGTTTCTGAGGATGGCCCAACTGATACAGAGACCCGAGATTGGAAGAGGAATGGGATTAAGGTATGGCTGAACCAGTTGGGACTTGGTCAGTATGCCTCTCTGTTTGAGATTCATGAGGTTGATGATGAGGTTTTACCAATGCTAACATTGGAGGATCTAAAGGATATGGGAATCACTGCAGTCGGATCGCGAAGGAAAATGTATTGCTCAATTCAGAACCTCAATAAAGGTTTCTCATGAGTTTCTACCAGGGAAAAGGTATCACTTTAAGGTTTTTGTAGCTGCGTAAGCCTATGGTTGAAATCATTCCAGATATTAACATTACTTGCAGCTTAACCTCTAATTTTGCAGTTTTTGTGTTCTTTTTGTAGTTCAGATGCAATTCTGATATACTAGCAATGGCTGTGAAGTGTACAGTGCTCTTACTGTTGGTAACATCTTTGTTAATTTGGTCCTAAATAGATCAAAACTTTTAAGACCAGAAAAAATAGAGAAGCATCATTCAAGAAAATGAATGTTAGTTACTCCTTTAGTTTTCCTAATAAAGTTTTATGTCCAATCTTCATTTCACAATCTTATTTAAGCTGATTTCGCAATCTTATTTAAGCTGATTTCACAATCTTATTTAAGCTGATTTCACAATCTTATTTATGCTTCCACAACTCTTATTTGGTTGCTTAATGTGTGTTGCTGCTACTTCCCAAATGACCTGGACTGAGCCACTGGCATCCTTTCCTTTCTTGAGTACCTGCAGCGTTGTGAATTGTATCTTCAATTCATTGTAGCACGAGGAGCTCTAGAGAACATTTTCTTTGTTATAAGGTAAAATAATTTTATTGATGATGGCAATGAGCTGTAGAGAACATTCCCTTAGGCCCTTATCTAATGTCCATGATCCCAAAAAAAAAAAAAAACACTCTCCCTTAGGCCATTATCTAATGTCTGCTTAGTGTTAATTCAGCAGCCAATTCTGTACATGATGCTGTAGAATTTTGGTTATGGACTTGCTTGCTACATTGTCAGGTCTATATCATTAGTGTGCAACTAATACTATGAAACGACAACACCAACATACCCACTGTGATCCCATAAGTGGGTCTGGGGAGGAGGAGGGGAGTACGCAAATCGTAACCCCTACCTTAGGTAAGGTAGAGACTAAGAGAGGTTGTTTCCGAAACACTAATACTCTGAGAATGTGCTTATAATTGGTTTGTAGTTCCTGTGTTCTTATGCTTATGTATGTCCTTGTTAAGATCATAATTATATGAACCTCTCTGTGTGGTACTTACTTTTAACTTTTTACTAAGTTTTAGGAGTTGGTAATGGTGATGTGAATTCTAAGCTTCACGGTTAATATCCCAAAGATATCTTGCTTAAATGAAACTATAGTGGGACACATCCACATCGCCATGTGAAAATGTTGCTGTGGAACTCTTGGATAGAATGATGAATTACACATAAAAACACAGAGGCATACTTTAGTTAGAGCAACCCTGCAAAAGCATTTTGAGTTGCATATATTGATGTCTCTGAAATGCTTCTTTAGAAAATGAGCTTGGGTCTGTCTCCTTATCAAGAATGTCATTTATTAACCATCACATGGCTTGTCATCACCAAGTAGTGCAGGACAACAAGATGGTGAAGTGAATACCACTGTCCCCTTTCCCCCTGGAATGACAACCGCAAGCAAACAGATGTGTATGCAAAGACTGGCCTATAAATAATAATAATAAAAAAAGACTGGCCTGTCCTCTCCAAAATTAAGATGTTAGCCAACCCTTTCCCTCTTGAGACAGATTTAGGATTTTAGGTCAGTGTATGCGGTTTACCTCTTGCATCCACCGCACCTCTGACATTGACAGTTGGGTGCAAAGTGCAAACACACCCACTACATCTTTCTTGCATTCTCCCCTGCCTGCCCCTCCTCCCAAACCTCCTTGGATGAATTTCATTTTGTGGCAGAAATTTTGGTTGGACATGCTTCCTTTCTCTTTGGTTATTTTTTGACAGGCTTTGGAAGAGAGAATTTGCTGGTCAGTGTGATAAATATCAGCAAAAGCAAGCTTTTCTGATAGGTTGTTGCTTATTCTGTAATCATTACCTGCTCCACATTCAGAATATTTCGTTCAAAATCTAACTAAAAGGCCTGTCATGGAAACAAGCACAGATAAATTTTCAGAGTTCTGCTTTTCACATATTTGAATTTTCAGAATGTTTGAGATTCTTATCCAAACTAATGAATTGATTGTTTAGATGCCACTTTGTTTTGTTATGCTATGTGCTTTCACCTCATCTTGAATTTGCTTCTTGATGTTCTGGACCAAATGTGTATTTATCTTTTAGTTTTTTTGTTCCAAAGAACCTGAATCATGCTCGACCAATTATGTAACATCGGCTCTTCTAAATTTTGTAAAGAGATGTAAGAATCAAGTTTGCAAGGATGTAATTACTCATTTGCCAGAAAATGGCATTGTGGTAGTTAAGAAACTTTTATTGCCTGGTTATTCTCATTCCCGGATATCAGGATTATTTTATGAAAAATAAAAAGGGCAACCAGGATCATTTCTGGTTTCGCATTCAGAACAGGATTTAGATGTTTTCCCAACTGTATACATGAGCCATTGCTATTACTAATTGAAAATAGAGTTGAAGAACTCCAATGATGTATGTTCTGAAAAAGGCAAGGGAAAGAAAAATGCGGGAAGAGCCCAAAAAATATGAGTATTATATCTCAAGATGAAAATTTTGTTGTTGAATGACAGTATGACACCATCAATTAAATGGGCAAAGATGCTAAATTTTCTAATCCATAACAAATGCTGATTAGCGCTTGATTTCTTCATTTCATATGCTAAAACCAACAACACGAGAAAAGAGCCGGTTGCTGATTACATTTGAAAAGGCTAAACTAACTAAAATATATCATCTTAGTCCCATACAAGCCGCCAAAAGAATACATGAATATAAAGAGAACTCCGCTGTATAATTTTTTGGCAAGAGAAGAGCCACCTTAACCTTGGACGTGACAAGGCCTTGTCAACAAAACTTGAAACCAACTTTGAGCAAAACATTCAGGTACCAAGCACGCAAATTCTGAAGACAGTGGAATGGTCAACAAATGCACCAAAAGAAAAGTTGGCAGACCATCTTCCCAAAGCACGCAGGGCTTTTTCAAAGCATAACCCTGAAATCTGGTCTAATGAATTTATGTTAGTTCAGTTTTCTGACTATCAACTTGTTGGGAACTGTGCAGAGTTGGCCATGTCCTGGATTGTGCTCCAAAGGATACATTGTAGTGCCTTTTACATATTTCTGATGTTCAACAGCTGCTTTTCTAAGGTTTGACATGTCCACACCATTTCCTTTCTGTTGCTTCTTGATTATGGAACATGTAGCCAGAAGATTGGTCGATCCAGCTCCAACCCTCCTACAGGCATGCAAACCGAGCTTATATAAGGTTGTTGAACAAAGAGACTTGAGACGACATTGGGATGTGGATTTTCTTAATAGTTGAAATAAAATTTATTGCCGCTGAAAGAAACACAGTCATTTACCTGAGCAATTTCTCTGATGCAATTCGGGCAGCAGTGATTGTGCTGCGGCTGGGTAACCACTTCACAACACGATCTGGATCGGCTCGCATTGGAGAATGGATTTTAATAAGCTTTAAAAAATTGATAAATGTTAGATTTGCAATATATCAATGAAGAACGTTCTTATACCCTAAAAGAGAAAAAGTAACTACAGCTGGAAATGGAAGCATCCAAGTGATATATTACTAGCTGTCCTATGACTGTTTCCAAGCTTCTATGTTAGGAATAAGGTCTAAAATCTATATGTTTCTAGTTGTCTCTATTTTATGTATGGTGTAAATATTTCAAGTTTCTAGTTGTCTATTTTAGGAGTATTGTGTAAATGTTTCTCCAGGTTGTATCTGCACTGTCTGTACTTCTAAGTGTGTGTTACTGGCAAGTCTGTGATCTCCATGCTCTCTCTTTAGTGATAAGTGTGCTTACTTTCTTTTCTGACAATTGAAGCACGTGGTTAACGATATTATTTTCATAGTATGACGAACTTCCCTCCCCTTGGACTTATCTAAACAACTATGATACTCATATTGCACTATTTCAACAGGAATGAAGACCCTCATCATTTGGGGAAAAAGAAACAGACTAGCATCTTTATAGGAGTAGTTATGACTAACCCCTAGGCATTCCATCATTTGATAATATGCCCTTCCTTGCAGAGGTGTATGACCTTGCCGAGACTCTGAAAAATACCTGGTCCTGTGATGATATAAACACTTTATTATCAGGTATGCAGGAAAAAGAAGATGCAATGATTACGTTCTAGAAATATTTAGAACAAAGAATATCTACCATAAGCTGTTTTAGCTTCATCTTACCATTCTTTATAGCCTGGATCAACTGTAAAACCATACATATCGACAGTGTCACAGATGGAGAGGGCAAATTCTAGAGCCTTCAGTCCAGTTCCTTTTGCTGCTGAACCAAAGGATGCACCCAACATGAGATATACTTTGTTGAGAATGGGAACTTCCTACAGAAAGACATACCAAACAGGAAGGTGTAAATAAATAATTTCCAGTTTGTCTGAAACAACCTGATTGATGCAGAACACTGAGTTGAGAATCATCCGACAAAATGATATACTACCAAACAGATTATAAATTTCCAGTCTGCCTGAGAAACAACTTTATTGCATCACATGGCCAAAGATATATCGAGTTTGGGAAAGACACTTGAGAGTGGATATATTAGCTATAGAATAACAAGCAACACATAATGCAGGAACTATTTCAAGTATACCAACAGCCAAACCAAAATTCTGGTTTTTATTTTGTTACGAAAGGGAAAAGGTCTTCCCAAACTAGATATCAGAAATAACTCACCAAGATTTGGCTTGGTAGACCTTCCCAAACAAAAGCACACAAAAGTCAGCTTGGGATTTACAGTCGGTGTTATGATTATACTTGTGTTAACATTCTACATTACAGAATTTAAGCGTAGTTATGCAACATACATGACACTCATTTCCAAAATAGTGCAAAACTAAAGATTCCGGTTGTTTCATTATCTTATTAATGGACCATATTCTCTTACTTCTTACACCGGTGGATAGTTCTTTAATATGGTCTATGCTAATACACATCATGCAAAACAATGGGGTATTTTACTAGTCCGTTTGTGTATATCAAATGCAGAAGAAAATGCTCACCCGAATCATCTTGTTCATGATATCATGTATAGTTGTTTTGACTATCAACACCTCCTTTCCTCTTTCTGTAGAATTTAAGATATTTAGCATGGTCGTAATGAAAGATCAAACCCTACAAAAGTGGGAATTGTGCCAATACCATACAACTCTGCTACTTTGTCAAGAGCTTTAGCAGAACCCCTATTAAGAAGGCGAAATGTGCTTTTCGTGCCCACAAATTCTGTGTAGTTCTGTAAAAACAATAAAGAAGGCAGGTGTTAGGGGTACACAAAATCAAGTGAAAAGGAGAAGTTGATCAGCTTGCAAAACCTGTATCGGTGCTCCATTTTCCCTGAAAACAGCTTCATAGCTATCAATCTCATCACCAAATTTTGTTTTAAGAAGATCTCCTGAGTTGCCTATAACAGCACATCGCCTATACTGCCTTGGAAATAATGGTGGTCTTTCTGGAAGTACTAGAGAGAGCTTCTCCATGCAAAGAGTTCTATTTTCACATCGGTTCCTGCACAAGAAAAGTGATACTCCACAAAAATCAACAACCCACACCAGATACTTTAGTTACAGGAAGTTGAAGTTCACGTTAAAGATTGAAGAAATTTTATAAGCATTAAAAGGTAACAACAGAACGATATAACAAGTACATATTTCGCTCTGCTGCAAGATCATATAGTATATTCCAATTATATATCATAAAAAGGCAAGCAACAATCAACATAGTGCAATGCAGTAAGAGAGTGTCTACATTAACTTCTCGAAGCAAAAGTTAATCACTACAATCATGGTTATGCAGCTAATTATGCACTTATATATATAAGGACTTCTAAGTGGTAGTACCAACAATATCGACAATCCTATGGTTAAGAGTGAGATCACACTTACAGAAGTACCCCCTTATTAATCCTTCTCCATGCATAGTCCTCCCATCCATTTGGTAGGGCATCAATGTACTCCTTTGTGAGTACTGTGGTACTGTTCCTCACCTAGCAATCATCCCACTGTATTTAAATCAATTGTAGTATGTAAAATAAGGTGCAAGCTGTAAACTTTAGGTAAGCCAGCTTCAAGCAAATGCTCTTCTCAGAGAAACAGAACACCTTATTTCAATAATAACACAAATAGTACAATTTAATCCAGTAGTCGTGTGAAAAACTTACTGACCTGTTCCCAAGTAGCCACAGCTTCACATAAGTTCAGTTCATATGACAAGCCCTCAAGTTCTCCAGTTTTTGGATCTTTCTATTAATAAGTGAAACCAAAAAAAACAAATGGTTACAGTACTTGCTGAGGATATTTAACAACTAGTTGCGAGTTCCCCAATTTTTAAAATAAGAATCAAGTGACATGGAAATCACGTGGGCCAGCAGGAAAGAGAATTAGGCAATAATGTGTCATGCTTTGAATGATGATGAAGAAGATTAAACTACCATGGTAGCTGCGATAGTTTCCCTATATTCCTATATGGCAAGAAAGGGTGGAGGGGCGGGGGGACCAGTGAACGAAAGAAAACTTACCCACTTTGGTACTGTTTCACCGGGAAACTTCATTATAACCTCACAATAGTCCCTGCCACTTGCAGCTTGTAAACCTAATCCATTTGCACTCTGCATCACTTTCCAGTTAGCTAATACAACAAACATGTAGGATGGCACATGCTTTCAACCAATCTTAAAGATCTACTAGCTAAAGTACAGTAATCTCCGTTCAGGCCTCATATATAAACCATAAACACAATAACCAGAAGTCCAGAACAAAGTAAGCTCACTATTTTTGCAACTGAAGATGCCAAGGGGAAAAGGCATAACTATGAAAATATTGCACAAAATAATATTCTTAATCTTTTCAACTTCTCCTGAAGCCAAAGTACACAAATCCATTGAGCTTTGCAGCAGAGAGAGAAGCAACTATTGCTAAGTGCAGAACTAGGAATGACCAGACAGTTGGTTTTAGAAGGAATGTGTTAATTTAAAAACGGATAATACAGCTACAAGATTTGGGGTAGGTTAGTGCATCTCAAATGAGCCCGACTCACTGGTCTGGACAGCTATCAGTAGCGGTAGGTTCACTGTGAAGTCTTGCTACCAAAGTCTCACCAAAACTGGACTCAGATTTACAATGGCCGTGGAAATGATATGGAAGACCAAAGCTCCTTATAAATTGGGTTGCTCCAGTTGGTTAATGGTGCATGATACCTGCTTGATACAGAAGAACTTCCAGAGGAGAGAACTGCAAATTATGCAGCAAATGCTACATGTGTGGAGCAAATAAATGGACAATAAACAACTTTTTTGCATTTCCCAGTGGCATCCAAATTTTGGGTACTCTTTCTCAAATTTTTGGAGTTGAATAGTGATTCTAGGTCACTTAAAAACTTATTTGTCGTGGGTATGGAACTAAGTCCGATAATATCTGAAGAGGATGCGGGGGAGAATACCAGCCTACATTGCTTAGGTTTTGTGGAACCAAAGACATTTTTAAGGAAAGCCAGTAACTGTACGTGATTTTAAGTTAAAGAGTTCAGTATGTTAGCTCTCTGGTGTAGATTGGATTATGTATCATGAGAATAGTCTGGTAGATTTTATAGACTTGGTACAACAAAGCTGATTGTAAAGACTTGGTTATGTCTTTTTTGCGATGGCACATTGCCTTAGTGTGTGGATGTTGGCCATCAATGAAAAGCTTTGCTTACTTAGCAAGAAAATGTTCTTCAGTTTCATCTTAAACTTACAAAGAGTGCTATTCCATATACTTGAACAAAAAGGAACGCTACAGACATCTAAAAAGTAATGATATCAGAAAATATACAAATAGAGGTAACAAACACTGACCTCAGCTTAACTAAGATTATCCCACTGCTACAAGAGCAAGCAACAAATCCTGATCTTTGTAGCATAATTTAAAATGAAAAACTAGGTAAAAGTTAACTATTGCAGCCTGGTTCAAGGATGTTCAATCAGACAAGTTTAGATATGCTAGATAAGATTACACACTAAGATTTAACAACCCGAGATCCAAGCTAGCAGTAAATAAACAGAAATATGCCAATCAAACCTAATTTTCTAGCGTCTCCACAATGCAGTAACTAAAAAAGTGCACAAAATAGAGATTAACCTAGACATTTGGCAATTCAGCTACTTCAGAGCTGAGCTTAAGTAACTAGAGCAATGAAAACAAACTTCGATAGCAAAACTGAAATCGCATAACCAAAAGCCACTACAAGTCCAACTCACCACGCACTTCTGGAAACCAGACTGTAGAGAGTGTAACGCCTCCAAATCCTCATCAGATAAATGATATGATCCATCTGCAAACAAAAACGAACAAAATATGTCAATTCATTCACATTCACAAGTCGGTGCACAACGAAACTGTAAATGCATCATTTCGCACATGGAGTGGCGACACCAATGATGTAGATGAGAATAGCTCCGAGTCCAGAAGCCAAAGCAACTGCAAATGCAAGCTTCAATAGCTTCATCTAAATCTATATTACTACTACTACTTAGCCAATTTTCTGCACTTCCAGTTGATCAATCAATGAATCGATTGCTCTTTACAGCGAGTGTTCATATGGTTAGCGTTAGATCTGGAGGACGAAATTGAACTGTCTTAATTTTTTCGCTCTCAAATCACTGATGCACCAGAAGTTCTCTTTTAGCAAACAAAATCAAGTTAAAAAACGTGTGTTTCAGTCATTTCAACTTATTTTTTATCAGTTTCGGTTCATAAACTTGCAATATTCCTTCTACCACCCATTGAAATATTACCATTCTACTTTAGACCCAAATAAATTGCCAAAAATATGGAAATCTACTCTTTTACACTTAAATTTACAAAAAAAAATCGATATGTAGAGTTTTTTTAAAAATAATTAAATCCAACTTTTTGTTTTTATCATTGAATATATTTTAAAGGAAAAAAAAAAGTTGCCGATCTGACTAAATAATTTCTTTATCTTTCTCGAGTATATTAGAATTTAAGTTGCACATTAACTAAGTTTAAGCTCAACAAATTAAATGTAATGTATCTTAACTCCTAACCTATAAGCCGTTGATTTTATTGCCGGTCTGTTTTAAGTGGGGTTAAGTTTTCTAATATTCATTTTTTGTTATACTAAAGTCATAAAAATTTTTTTTTTTGTTAAATTCACAATTTTTTTTTGTTAAAGTCACAAATTTAATTTTTGCAACAAAAAAATATGTGATAGTTGCTAAGAAAATACGAATTACAAGCAATAAATAGAATGACCATCTGTAAAATTAAGTTCTTCTAATGCTTTGATTATTTTCAAATAATAATTAAAACTCCCATATTTGTTTACCTATCATAGTATCATGAGCTTGTTCCGGTAGCTTAGGTCCCTTTTCAGCATTGAATAATGTGGTGCAACGAACGAGATTCCTCTTTTTTTAATTAGAAATTTTAATTTTGATATCTCAATATGAAATAATTTATAGTAGAGAACTTCACTGAATAGACCTTACAACACAAATTTGAATTAATTGAATTTGAATAGAAATAACAAACATAAGATGGTATATAAAAAAACAAAACAAAAAGTAAGTTTAGGTCCCTCTTCAATTGACAGCACAGATTCAAACAACAGGGGGTGTTAAGTGTAATTGTGAAACTATACGAAGGTGCTTCTATTAACGCATATAGACACACAAGTCACAACTACATAAGATCCGGGGGACTAAAAAGTTCAACGACTCATATTTTTATCTTCCTGCATCTAATCAAAAAATCAATCACAGCAAGAAGAACAACTGTGGAATAATGGCTTCCAGGTATTGGGTGGTTTCTCTTCCCGTTCAGCAAAATTCGTCTACTACTTCTCTCTGGAGTCGCCTTCAAGAATCCATATCCAGGCATTCATTCGACACTCCTCTTTATAGAGTAAGCTCTATCCCTTCCCCCAACATATTTTACTGAGATCTGTCTGATTTTTTGGATCACCTTCATTGTTTTCTCGTTGAATTTGCAGTTTAACATCCCCAATCTCCGTGTCGGTACATTGGATTCGCTTTTAGCTCTCAGCGATGATCTCGTCAAGGTGAGTTTTTTTTCTCTCTCTCTACATTTTGATGTGGTCTGTGTTTTAGTTCGAAGCATTGTAATGTGTGATCTATAATGGATTGTTATCATTTTCTCGGTTTTAGTTGATACTAGCTGCAATTTTGCAATTGGGGAAGGGGATAGGTAGAATTTGATTATCCATATTTAGGATCGAGAAATTTAGTTAATTAAGGTGGTATTGATGCGAATCTGATGTGGAAAGTTTGGAATTTGCAGTCAAATAGCTTCATTGAAGGGGTCTGCTCCAAGACACGACGTCAGATCGAGGAATTGGAGAGAGTTTCTGGTGTCCTCAGTAGCTCTCTCACTGTAGATGGGGTTCCTGTTGACTCATACCTCACTAGGTAATCACCTAATTTGACTGCTGACTGCTGACTGCTTTCATCATGTGAACTTTTTTCTGAAAGAATTTGATATTGGTCATAGGTTTGCATGGGATGAGGCAAAGTATCCCACAATGTCACCTCTTAAGGAGATTGTGGATGGAATTCACAGCCAAGTTGCCAAGATTGAGGATGACCTTAAGGTATCTATTCTGTTGTGTTATATGAAACAAGTATTTTTTTTCAGGAGAAGTATTGGGTATTAGAATGTCAGAGATCTTATTTGTATAATTTTCAATTTTTGTTGGGTGACGGGATTTTCAATACAAATCTCACATAAAATATTCACAATACAAGCAAATAGTAATGATCAGGCCAGTATGTATGGTGAAGTAAACAGAGAAATAGATCTATTATGTAAAGTCAAGTCTCACAACATAAATTAAGCACATACTGATACTCTAATATTACCAGATTTAAAAAAGCACATACTGATGCTCTAGTAAACAGAATGGAGATTTTGAAGGAAAGAAGAGGACCGTAACTGAGTGAGAAAGAAAAGATGAAATATCAATCCTTACTTTCACTTTTGACCGTTAAGACTTGTGTTTGCTCTTTGGAGAATTGAATAGGTCCATATCAGCACAAATATATTTAACCACTCATTTTAATTTCCAGACGCCAGACAATCTTGTGTTTTTTTCCATATTCATTATCAACCCTCGAGGCCTGTAATTGGTTAAATCTCAGGAGCCTTTTTTTTAATCATCAATGAAGTGGATATCTATTCTTTATCTGCAAAGGGTGGAGGAACATAATGGACATGTTGAACACTATTGAGTTGGACATATAAAAGAAAAAAGGGGGGGGGGGGGTCTAGGATGTTGTGCCACTAGCACTAATGTGATTCCTATGAAAGGAGAGAAATTTGAATACACAGAGGACAGTTTTTTTACATTTGAGGAGTTACTTCTTATTCCTAGTTTCTTTTCGGTGCAACCTCACCCATGAGATAATAATATGTATAAAATATTGGGTGTCTTTTGGAGAAATCATATCTTTTTGTAGATTCTGTTTTTTGGTACACCTCTTGCATATGTGAGGATTTTCCACCATTAGTAAACTTATATTGTCTCTTCCAATCACTATTCCAGCTGTTCTTCCAGCTTCTCTTCAAACCAAAATATATTCCAAAGCTTATTTCTTTTATTCTTCTTCATGATAATAGAGTTTGGATATCGAGTCCCTCCTCTTAGTGTTGAATTCCGCTGTTGTGAAAAATATCTTCTTGTTTTCTTCTTTGTGGTCAGAGTGTGGGTATTGAGTCCCGCACTAAACATTGAATCTCTAGACACTATTTTGGAAAGTCTTCTCCATTTTTTTCCTTTATGGCATTAGAGTCTAGGTATTAAGTTTCAGCATCTAAATATTGCATTTATTGTCATTGTTTTGACAACATTTTTTTGGCTATTCTATTATTTTTTCATGAAAAAACTTTTTTTGGCTACTCTTCAGCTACTTACTCAATTTACGATGAAAATGTCCTCGATGTTTACATCGCCATAGTTCTTCTTTGGTAATTGAGAACTTGCTTATTTCCGGGTGCTGCAACAAGCCCTTATGTTGCTTAGCTTGGAAAATGGCCTTAGGCCCTCTTTGAATTGTCACTTTACCATAAAATCCCTTCCTTGGACATTGATTTTAGTCAACCCTGTTGAGCCTTAACTTGTTTCTTAGATACCATGTTACAATGACCCACTGGTGGTGGGCAGGCGGAGGATCCAAAGGACATGCAGCTGAGGGCGAGTCCAAAATCCTGTTTCAGGGTCTCTACTTTACGGAAATAATATTATTACCTGAACCATTCTTCTTACTTCTGCAGCCCTGGTGACTATCCTGAGGAAAGAATTGTAGCAGTACTTTCCGTTTTGTTGAAGAGTCCATGTCGGATGAAAAAGGGGTGGGTGGTCTCCTCATATGCCTTGCACAATCCTCCGTCATTAGCTAGCTTTTGAGGTTGAGTTAGGCCCAAGATCCATTTCTTTAACACTTTTCAATGATCGTCTGTTTTTTTTTTTTTTTGAAATAGGTAACTTTGTATTCACACAAAAGAACTCATCAAAATTGATGAGGTGGGATTTACAAACCCCCAGGGGGTGCCATCATACTCAAATCCAAAGAGACAACTAAATTTACAATTGGCTTTTAAACTCCACAAGGCAATCTACTTCCCCCACTAAATTTTGCTTACACCAAAAATACAAAAGACTAAGACATCTCATCTTGATCTCCTGTGAGCTGCTAACCTTTCCTTCATAACATCTCCCATTCCTTTCCTTCCATAGTGTCCACCATATGCAAGCAGGGATATTTTTCCACCAGTATTCTTTTGATCCTCTCTTCCCGATTCCTTGCCAGTGTGTTAGGACCTCAAAAGTGGTTCTGGGCATTGTCCAGTTAACCCCGAGTATACAAACAAACATGTTCCACAGATCTGTAGCTATCTTGCAATGCAGAAACATCAATGATCGTCTGTTATCTCAATGACATTATTTCAAGATGCTATTCAGATTAGTTTTTGATAATGTTATAAATTTTACTAATGAAGCGAGAAAAACACGCATATACAAGAAGTATACCAGCAGCCATTCAGAATAATGCTCTGTCAATAACTACTTTTTTCAGTATGCTCTACTTGGCATTTTTTTTTTTTGATTAATTCAAGTTGCTTCACTACCTTGAGTTTGAGATATAGTGCCTTGACAGTTGAGAGAACTGATGTTGTTGTATGTAGGAATTATTGAAGTTAGTAATATATTCTATCCTAGATGGTTGTGTCATAATTAGGAATTCTAGTAACGAGGAAAGTTTCTTTGATATAAAATATCCTTTTTTCATGTACTGTAAAATATCTTTGTTTAATGTAGCCTAAACTTCTATATAAGGGGCCCTCTTATATGTCCATAACCTATTTAGGCTCCGTTTTCTTCTTATTTTTTCTTTGCTTTTTAAGATTAAGATGATGGAATTTTAATTAAAAAAAAGTTATTAAGATATTGTCTCTAAATTGCAACATTAACTAATTAAAACTATTTCTCTCACCATCCTTGGCGGCATATGTTGGAGTAATTGGAAGGAAAGAAATGATAAATGTTTTGAAGGGAAGATAGTTAGTGTACCATAAGTTGAACACAAATGCTTATGGTTGTTGGCTTTTTAGCGTAATCTAGAGGTGGTAAATGATGAAGATACTATGTTAAAGTTAGACTTCAATGAATTATCTTTACTGCAAGCTGCAACAATCTTCTTTTTGTTTTTGTATGGAAGGATTTTTTATTCTTGTAATGCCTTTGGTGCTAAGCTTTCTCCTTGTTTTTAAGTATATACAATCTTCCTATTTGTTTCTAGCCTTGGTAGACGGAGTTACATGTTGCTGGTGGGAGCTGGCAGGTATCCGTGGAAATAGTCTAGGTGGGTGCAAGGTGGCCCAGACACCACGGTTATAAAAAATATTAAATATATATACGGTCTTCTTACCTTCTCAAAAATAATAATTTGGAAATATCTAATATGGTGTTGTAAAAACTGTTTGTTTGATGGAACACACTTTAAACCACTGGCGGTGGTGGAAGCTGTTGGTGATGATTGTGAGGTAGTGCCTAGTGGTGGTCGATGTTGGTGGAGGAGACTGATGTTTGTGATTGTGCGGTAGACGTGTTGGAGGTGGGGATGCAGTGGAAGTGGGTGTGGGTGTGGGTGTTGGTGTTGGTGGCAGTGGAGGCTGTGCATTGGAGGCTAGTGGTTGGTGGTCGAGGTGGTTGTTGTTGGTAGTTGTGTTGTGGTAGTCCGTAGTTGATAGAGTAGCGGTACAATGTCACATGAATTTTTAAGTGAACGTCTTAATGATTAGACTTTGTACCAAATCTGAATTAATTAGGCCTACTCTGAGCAATAATTGATTGTAAAGGAAACGAAAAACAAATGCATTAAATGGATTAAAATGTACATTAGTTAGATTTAGATCTCCATTAAGAACAAACGGGACCCAAGACAATTTCTCTATTCTATGTTAGCCTCTATTATTATTATTTAGATGGACTAACCTTAGTTGGCCAACATCCATAGTGCTTAAATTTATGTGACACATCTCCCTTTTGTTTCATCCAAATTGGTGCTATAGTTCCATAACAGTAAAGTGCAGTAAGTATTGTTGAAGATGCAATAAACAGCATTAGCTTAACGGTTTTGGTTCCACTGATTCCTAGAGTGAGCTTCCCCAGAACTTAACTGGTCCTCCTCAAGACCATCAAGTAACATCATTTTTTCAATTAAGTACAACAATGGTGGCGTTGAGTTTTTTGTTATAGTTTTCTATGAGATACTTCATTGGATTAAATGCTAAGTATCTTGATTTACTACTAAGAGTTTCCTAATCATAGTATTGGCTATATTGCTCGAACAATGTCATTTCCTAATGATATGACAACAGATGATACTACTTTCTATTCTGTTAGTTTGAAATTATTAAAGAGTTTCTGCAAAATGACATGTAAAATGTGCCAATAATTAGATAGTTTGATCGCTCTTACAATTTCTGTTGGTTATCTATGACAGGTTCGTGTTTCTGAGTATAACAATGTGCGTAGTCAACTTAATGCCATCAACCGAAAGCAAACCGGAAGGTATGTAAGAGATGGGATTCCATTGTATTAACATGGACTTCCACTTAATGGTGATTTGTCAGTTTTTACTATTCAGCTATGTCATTATTGATTTATCAGCAAAAGCTTTACCTACTGCCTAATGTTTGTAAATTACACTTGCAACATTGATGGACATAATTGTGGAATTTAAAAAGGAAGAGAGGCAGCTAACTTAAGATGGGCTATGTCAAAATAGCCTTCTATTCGACATGGAATGCTTTTTTATAAAGATTAAACATGGAAAATACATCCATGTTGTATTTGGTAAAGGTCGACAGATATTAAGGTGCCCCTCATGACCCCAGGGCTTTGGTCTAGTGGTAAGAATTCAACTTGTGATGTGTGGGTTAAGTGCACATCATGGGTATAAACTCTGACGCGGACAAAATTCTGGTATTCAAGTGGAAAAGAGTAGAGTGGCGGACTCATTATCCACAGAGTTTCAGACCGTGTGCCACTGACCCTTGGGGATTTCTCAGTTGTCAAAAGAAAAGTGGCCCTCATATTATATGGTCGGTTAGAGTTGTGTACTCAAAATAATGATAATAAGAAGTAGCTACTGTCAAAATGTACCTTAAATCAATTATATTCCTATGATCTAGATTACAATTTTGAACTTACATGTGGTGGTAATAGATGATCTGTTTTAAAACATTATGTGGTGATAGATAGTTTTGCATTAGGTATATCACTAACAAATGAAATTTTAGGGATTATAGGATCTCCATATGGATGAGAGAAATTAAAAATAGAACTTCCATACAGAGTGCTAGATTCATCTTGCTCATAGAAACTTTATAATCTTTTGGAGAAGATCGCTAAAATTCTGAAGTTTGGTACTCTGGTCTTGGAACTTATCCTTATCAAAGGATCAGGGAGACTGCTCTTCAATGTTTGATTCTTTGTTATTTGTTGTTTTAATTGGTTAATCATTGAAATTTCCTCTGAGATTTTGAGGTGGTGGTGGTGGCTTAAATAATCTTTGGAATTGCTAATCTCGGTTGCTATAATTGTTCTTGAATTAGTATCTACTTGGCAATTGGCATCCTAGCTGATGTGCTTGGTGTTTTTGTTCCAGCTTAGCTGTCCGTGATCTGTCCAATTTGGTAAAGCCAACAGATGTTGTTACCTCAGAACACCTAACAACTCTCCTTGCTGTTGTTTCTAATTACTCACAGAAAGACTGGTTATCCAGTTACGAGACCCTGACCACCTATGTGGTAAGAAATTTGTTGGATACAGTTTATAGCTTTATATATCTTCTATTTACTTGGATTGTGTCTCTCCTATGCATAGTGATTCTGATTTTGGCTGTGGATTTTGGATTAGTTTATTCTCCTTCGAGAACAAACTGGATTTCTTACTTATATCTTGAATCTGGAAATGTTCTTTTTCTTTCTGAACTCTTTATAGTGCTATCCCACAAGTTCTCCTTTTTCACTTAACTAATTGTTTAGGTTCCCAGATCTTCTAAGATGCTCTATGAGGACAATGAATATGCTCTTTATACTGTAACATTATTCAACCGTGATGCCGACAATTTCAAGATTAAGGCGCGTGAAAGAGGCTTCCAGGTAGTTTTCCTTACCTTTTCCAAGTCTCTCTTCTCCAGTACACCCACCAGGTGGGAAAATAGCTTTTTTAATATGTAAAACTGTGTGGTGGGAAGAACTATTGATTGAGGAAGGCCTCATCTAAAGAGAGTCTTATGCTACATTTGGTTCAGATTCGCGATTTTGAACATAATCCGGAGACTCAAGAAAGCCGGAAACAGGAGCTGGAAAAACTGATGCAAGATCAAGAGACATTCAGAAGCTCTCTGTTGCAGTGGTGCTATACCAGTTATGGGGAGGTACTCCCCTCTTAACCTATTGGACTTTTAAGCATTTCTGAATACATTTTCTGCTAACTGTTAATTTTTCGAGATTCATAGACTTCTCCCTGTGGTACTGGCTTTAAATTTGAGATGCTTTGCAGTCTCGAAGGAAATGAAAAAGTGAATTGATTTTTCATGAGGGAAAAAATATTTCTTAACTACTTTATTTAAGGACTTGAAGTCTCTTTCTTAGTTTGGGCTTACTTGGATGAAGTCTATGGGTCAACCAAGATCACTTTACAATCAGATGCTAACTTGAATTTTGATTTTTTAAAAGGGACGGAATGAGTTCACTCTTCTAGAATTTGTGATCTGATAGAGTTTGGTGGAATTGAAATGATTGTGAGATTCAAGAGAATATATTCCTGAATTCGTTGCATGAACTTTCAGAATGATCTATTGAAGAAGATATAATAGTCCACTCCAGTAGCAATACATGTGGTGGTTCTGGAGCCTTATTTTTGCTCGGGGACCAAGTCTCGTCTCATCTTACATGAGCAACATATGAAACAGAGGGAGCACGTTCTAGGATAGGAAAAGGCCTTTGCAATCTTTGTTTTTCACTATTTTTGAGAAAGATCTTTGTTTCCATTATTTAGAAATGAACTAAGGAAAGAATAAATGGATAACCTATCAACTTATCCCAGAAAGAGGAGTAAAGAGACCTCAACCTATCAAGGGCAAAAAGAACTCAAAATTGCATTCTCTGTTGTAAGAACTTTAAAAAACAATGATGGTAGAGACCCAAAATACTTACCAACCAAGAATAAGGAAACAGGAATAAATAGAGAAATTGATTTACTCAAAAAAGGGAATAAATAGAGAAAATAGGGAGAGATATTGAAACGTAGAAGGGAGCAGGCTGTGGTGGAATGATTTACCAAATGTGAATTGGTATCAATCAAGTTTGGGAGTTATTTCTTAATCTTTTCATTCCTTTTCTAATTAAATGTTGGTGGATCTTTTCATAGCCTTCATCTGCCAATAGTGAAGCTATTATGCTTTTCAGTACTTGACAATGAAATGCATCATGGCTTGGAGAGAGGACAAGCTCTTAATTAGGGGGGAAACAGGGTCAACAGAACATGTGCATTTCCTTATCTTAGAAAGAGGAAGGTTGTCTGTGTCAACTGGTGTTTATATGTGCTAGGAGGCGGGAGAGGATGTAGATCATCTTCTTCTTCATTGTGATCTTTCCATGAGGTGATGGTGGGATATGTTTGAATGGCTTGGTACTTCTTGGGGCTACATCAAGAACGGTGAAAGAATTGGTGTTCAGTTGGAAGAGTGGAAGAAAGAGGAGGTGTAAAGCATGGAACTTGGTTCCATTAGCATTTGTGTGGTGGTGTTGGAGAGAGAAATAAAAGACTTTAGAAGGAGTAGAGTCAAGTTTTTCTCATAATCATTGGCTAGTCGGGCGGCATATATGGGTCATAGCCACCTGCCGACAACAGAAGCTCTTTGATTCCCTACCTAGAAACTCTATTCACCATGTAACGATATTGCACCCGGACCTAATTCATCCCTAAAAGCTAGCTCCCAAGTCCCCAAAAGTAGAATCCAATGCAAGTGATGAAAATCATAGTTATATTTTTTGTATATTACGGAAAAGCGGATAACTGGGTATGCAGTTGGTTAATCTATACAAATAAATAAAGCCACAATCTCATAGATGGAACCTAGTTTTGGTTTGACTTCCAGCTAACTGTTCTCCTTAACTTTTTTTCCACATGTATTGTATCTTTTTTTTTTTTTTAAAAGACATCTATTTCACACATGTACTGTTTTTTAAACTCCAATCTGTTCTTCCTGACTTTCTTGGTGAATCCATTGGCAAAAACCAGGATCATGTACACATTCAATCAGTCGCCCTCTCTTTTTTAATCTTTATAGTTCCCTTCCTTCTATTACTTCTAGAACATCTATGCTAAATTGAGATACAAGTCAGAGGTGACCTGGGGAAGTCAATTTCCAACTTTGTGATTGCAAATGATTCTCTTCTTGCAATTACATCGCATTTACAATGTCTGTTCAGTTTCAAAATTCTAGTATGTTGTTTTGCTACCAAATGTTTACTTTTTTATTACTTAGCAATAGGTATGTTCCCGAGTGTACCCATTGGCTAGTCCAACTTTACTGATGTGGCGCACCAGGGTTGAGGTAGAGCATGTAAATGAGTTCTAACTAGAGTTTTGAATGAGCAAGTTTATAGTCGAGGGTTCAGTTAGCACCGACATCAGGAGAAGAAATTAACTCTTAGGCCTCAACATTGAGTTGAGCCGATGCTTGGCTCAGCTTGCTCATATTTCAGCTCGGGCTGGCTAGGCTCGTTTTGATACAGATAAGCTGAGCCAGGCTTGGTTTGTTTGGTATGGTCGTATTGCGAAAATCACTTGTTTCCAACGATGAAGGTCTTCAACAAGGTATTTGCTCATGAGGATGCATTTAATGAGCTGAGATACTCATTGGAACTATAATTTTACTTTACATTTCATTTGACATTGTAAAATTGTTGAGTGGACAAGATTATTTATGTCGTCGGAGAACCCTAATAATCTTGTTGACTACATCTTGACATCCCTCTAATTTGGTTATAGAGGACTACTAATAGCAAGTCACATGTCCAATATTTAGTCAATATTTGATTCTTATTACTCAAAATGGAAGGATTAAAACTTTTAGAAACTAGACGTAATGCTTTATTGGAAAGTGAACTGGCCATTTGAATACACCTAAAGGGAGTACCAGTGAGAGGGATGAGGGGGTGTGCAGTCATGAAATTCATTTGACGGGGTCAACAAGTCATGTTTTCCAATCAAATCAGCAGTGACAGCCTGAATCTTCATTGATAGAACCCCCAAGTCGTGCTCTCCCTGAAAACGTCACGGTTTGCAGGTTATCTTTCGCCAGTTTTGTAGGAAAAACAAACTTTCTGACAAAAAGGTACACATGGATCTTAAATATATTGGTGTTGTTAGATGATGATAGTGATAAACCATTTAGAGATGGCTAGTTCAAAGGAGGCTTCAAGGGAGAATGGTGGGGAAGATTGGAGAAGGCTCCAAATTTCTGCAACATGGATTCTGGTAAGGATATTAGAGTCAGATATTAAACCTAACAGGTATGTTCAATTTAGACTAGTGTATGTCGAAGAGTCCATTAGAAAATTATAAGTATCTATTAATCTATGTTATGTCCATGTCATAGCAATTCACGAAGTTACATTTAGGCTTAGGCAATAAAGGGTCCATATAACATAATTGATAATTCTATGTAGTGAAGTTCGGAGTTTGTTCCAGAAAGTACAAACAGTATCAGCATGTAAGGGAATATGAGGGTAATTGGTCAAGCCAGAGGGCAAATTTAACTCGTGGTAGGTCAGTCCTTAGCAGCACTTTGACTTTAACTTACCCTCAGTGACATATCATGAGTTTGTCCAACTTCAGCAAAAGTAGAGTATCGTCATGTGGTTTGCGCCTTCTCATTTGGTTTTCTCTTTAGATATTAAGTGCTTGCCTCGAGTAGAGGCTTTTTCTAGCACACACTTCTTTCATATGAATCTATTATCATTTCAAAGACAAGCACTTGGTATGTTTCCATTCCAAGGATGTGGAATCATAATCTGTAAGTGTATTGAGGTACCTCCGATTCATGGAGCAGTTTTGGATTCAACTGGCAAAGAGCAGGAAGACATTGAATTGACATTTACTGCTTAAACAATAAATCAAAGTAGTAATTAATGGTCTAAGTACCCTATTGTGATTTCTGTTCTTGCGACTGCTGTAAATCGTAATTACTTTTTAGATTTCACAATCCAACTCGATCTGGGTTCACTATCCTTTTCTTTTCTTAGTGCTGATTGATTTATTTTCTTTCGAACTGAACCGTATCTTAGTTGGTTATTGAAATCCTTGTCTAAAAGGTCCTGCCATCATCCTACAGGTTTTTAGCTCCTGGATGCACTTCTGTGCTGTGCGTATCTTTGCTGAGAGCATTTTGAGATACGGGTTGCCTCCATCATTTTTGGTAATTCATTTGAACCCTCCAATATTATGTTTTTCAACAACTCTTTTTTTTTGTATATCGATCACTATAACTAATTATTACTTAATGGCTGATAAAAAATTTCAGTCTGTTGTTTTGGCACCCTCAATCAAAAGTGAGAAAAAAGTACGTTCCATTCTCGAGTCACTCTGCGACAGTTCAAACAGGTATGTGATAAAGAATCCAATCTTAACCATATTTGACATAGACACCCTCCTAGATCCAAATGCACCAAAACACTATATGTGCTTGGGTTTGAATGATTGTAACTCCCTAATTTCCATGGTTCTCTCCCTGTAGTGAATAATGCCTTATTTGCTCTCCTTAAAAGAACTGGGTTTTATAAGCATGTGATAGTTTTCCCTGAACTCCACCCCCAAGGAACCTGTTGTAAAGCTTTTAACGGGTTAAAATTCTATTGCATGATGGTCAATGGTGTTTAAAAAGCACATGGCATTTTTCTACATGTTTCTAGATCCCATTTGTGGAATTACACTGGGCTTGTTGTTGTTGTTTCCACCAAATAAGAACACACCTAACATGGATGCATTTAGGCTGACCATTACTGGTCCCGGATACATGCATCTTTACTTTAGGCTGAAAGTTGTGATAACAGTCGACTGAGTAAATTGTAAGAAAAGAACATGCATTTCTTCAGTTGCAATTGGCCACATCTATGTGGTCCTTGGACCTTACATGTTTTCCTGCTCAATCTTTGACTGACGATTATTAAATGTTTCTATTACCATGTTCCCTATTTATATTGTTTTATTAATTGAATTGCAGCAATTTCTGGAAAGCTGATGATGAAGGAGGAATGGCTGGTTTTGGAGGTGACACAGAGGCTCATCCTTACGTCTCCTTCACAATAAATCTTGTTTGAGTTCGAGGAATGACTTTGTCTGTCCATTGCATTGGTTTGATTCTAGTTGCTATCATCAATAAGGGCAGGTTGCGCACTTGTACAATAGAGAGGATTGTCCAATTATTATTTTTTAATATTATATGTTTATTGTAAAACATATTTATTTTTATCACCTTATCCTGCCTCCTTTATTGGCCGGGTTGATTGTATTCCAACTCTTGCTACTTCACTGGATCGAAAATTTTAAAGTTATTTTGCTACGTATTGGAGACCTTTTTCCCAACTGAGAAATTAAATGTTATTTGTTCTTGTTTTAAGCCTGTATATCTCGTCATTGTTTTCTTTAAATATGATGCATTTTCTCTCTAAGCTAGCTTGATCTTTCTTAGTCGAGGCAAGACCAAAAGTTGAGAGAACGCTGCACACACAATTGCCAAAACGACTACTCAATCATAAATTTGTCTAGTTTTACGTTGGCTACGTTAAATATCAATGTGAGCAAACTCATACAGAGTTAATTGCCAAGATAGCTGATTACAATAAAATTATTTTTCTGATCATTGATACTTTAAGTAGTACGATCTTGCAATGAAAGTGAGCAGATTTGTTAAACACTGAGGCAGGAAATGGGTAAGTTCTGCAAGAACTGAAACCAAAAGAGCACACAGTTGCAGCGATACTTAAATGCATTTGTAAAGTTAGAACCCTTCTCTTCCATCCTACTTATGGAACCTTTCTGTTTGGTCAACGGACTAAATTATTTCGAGATTATAATCCTTAGACTAATGGGATAAAGTGAGATATCCCACGGTTAAGACTGGGATAAAATTTATACTATGTTTGGTTGATGGTATAAATTAATTCTGAAATATCTCACCTTATCCAGTATATAGAGAAAACGACCAGCACTGATGTAGTAGGGTATACGGTCCTGGCTAGTTGGGATAAGGATGTATATCATATAAGGCTGTAGTTGAAATAGATGTTTGAGGGCCTTCTCAGGTATGTCTAAAGTCTAAACTCCAAAAAACTTGGGTTTGGTTCATAGCTCCTCAATGTATCTCTTTGAGTGTAGCCCTTTAATCCAACAAAATAATGACCCACATTCACCATTAATTATCAATGGCCCTCTTATACATATTATTACAAATTTACATGTTGGTTCTGTCAAGTTAGTTAGCTAGTCGGCAAATGATGAGCAATTTGTATAATTTTTTGGTTGGATATCTCACGTTCTAAATTAAAGTTTACAGTTCCCTTTTGTGTCAATAATGCACAACAAAAACCCTAAATACTCGCAGTGTGTCATTAATAGTTATGTTCACATAGGCATCAGACAATTTATACAAAGAAACAAAACAAACAGCTAGCGCTTTCGAACTAGTTGCCAAATTGAATAATTTTGTGTCTGCTTCATCTACACTTGTATACAAATTTGTGATTTGATGTCAATTTACTTGCGGATTCAACCTTTAAGGTTCTTACTGCTAGCAAATGTTTTGACCCCATTGATATGTACAAAATTTGTATATTACATATTTAAACTAGATCATCTAAAGACACTGAACTATAATTACCTGAAAAATAACGATAGTCAAATGGAGAAAGATGGAGTTGGTCCCATTTATGATTATTTTTTTTACTCTATACTGTATAGTATATGAAAAGGTAGTAAGTTTAAAGAAAGTGTAATAAATATATGAAAGAGGCAAGTCTCTGCAGAATATTTTGCCTTAGCATAAATGCCCATAATAATTAATTGAGTATATATGTGTGGTCCTATTAGCCACGGTTCAGGTTCTTCACATTCTTAGCACCAGGCCACTCACATTAACCCATGTCACATTTGGGAATAGAGTAGTTGGTATGGTATATAGAGTAATAAACCAAATTTTAACAACTTTTCACAACCTATAAGTATCAAAAAGCGTTGAAACTGATTTCATAAATAAGCGATAGTATTTTAGATTAATGTGTTGAACCGATAATAAGCCGCTACTATGTGTGATCAACAACTTTTTCTATTAAAATGTTCTTATTTACGAAAATATGAATTTAAAACTGTGTTTACATAGAAAAGAACGAATGACAGAAATATGATGGCGAGATAATTAAAAGTTATGTTTTAGGAAGATTATAAAAGATATTCAGGATAAAATCTAAAGTGTATTATAAGCTACAATTCCCAAACCCTCACATGGCAAAAGGGGACAAGCACTTGGTGTTTGCTAAATGTGTAGATAAGTCAAAAGGTGTGTATAAGCTAGTGTCATCAACTTGTAAGCTTTAAGCCGAACATCATCTATATTTGCTTGTACAAATTTTATATTAGGCGAGTAAAAAGTACTTTATCCATGGATAAAATTTATAAATTTATATTTTAAATAAGTTTTTGTTTATCAAACTGGTCTTAATTAAACTTTATGATTTCGTAGATATTATTTTCTTTTTAGTAAAATAACACGATGGAAATATTAGACCTAATTAGCTATAAATTTGAAAGGGATGCCTTATGGCTAAGAGACATACCTCCATATTATTATTATTTAAAAAATCAATGTCATCTTCAGCCTCCATGCTTCCCCACCCCCCTCCTGGGGTCCCAAATTAAGAGAAAAATATAACAGAAAGCAAAGGGGACAAGGCAAATAATAGCAAATAAGCAAATGCCAATATGCCATACAGGGCTTGCTTAGTTGCTTCACACAAGCCAAATTATAGGTGCTTAATGTGGGGCCTTCTCCCCATAGGGTTTTAGCCCAAATCTCTTTGAACGTGGTGAAAAAATCAGTCTATGAAAATATAATTCTTTTAAATTTGAGCAGGTTAATGAATCATATATTTATTAGCGCAATTCATTTTGATCAATCCATCTAAAAGTTAAAAATTGGATGGATTTGGACTAATTCCAATCCTAATTGATCCATAAAATTTTTGTTAGTTTTTTTTTTTGTTCAATATGTTATTTATAATCATAATAATATTTTTTATTAGATAATAACCAAATTATATATTTATATAAAATTGATGGTAGTTTGACAAATTTGGGTCATCTTATTACTAACCTTAGAATGGATTACATGATTTGCATACTCCCTAACTCAACATGTGACTCATTGCTTAAACTAATACATGTTGTTTAGCCCAATCCTCTTTCCGATTCACTTCAGTGACATATCTAATCATGAGTTTACGTGTTCGTAGAATTTAATATTTTGAAGTCGAATCCTTATTTTTATATATATATAAATGTGAAAATATGTATAGTGTTAGATACATTCCTTATTTGTGATTTGTTTGTCTGTTTTAATTTGATACGTGATTTAAGAAATAAAAAACAAAAAAAGTATTATGATTTTAAGCTAAAGATATATAGAATATATATTAAAATGCTCTCTAATCTTGTGTGTTAAACATGTGTCATATAATTAAATAAAGAGTTATTGAAACAGGGAGAAATATTTTTTTTTAAATAGATTAAAAAGAAAAGAGAAATAAGCAAATTGAAACGATGAGAGTATTATTATGAATTTACTTCGGATCAACTTAAAACGCTATTATATTTAAGTTTTGTATTTGTGCACGTTGATTGTTGTGTCAATTAACAACTTCAATTCACTTAATATGTTGTTTTTTAGAATGTATTACTTTCCACAATTAATAAGAATGGAAGTCACCCCACCACCCAATCTCATTGATCATCAATATGAAATTTTTGTCATTTTTTAACAAATTGATAGGACCATAACATACTAATCTATTGAATGTTTGAAAATTTAACTTACTAGTATTAGGCGTATTAGTATATAATATAGGTAGGACCAAATATTAGGCATAATAATTTCAACTTTTCGAATATTCAAAAATTCGATATCCAATCTGAAATCCATAAATCTATTTTATAATTCAAAAATACAAACTAAATATCCAAAATATTTAGATTTCGATTTAAATTTGAGATTGGCCCAAACTATATCGACCCCTACGTGTCTATGTTGAAGTCAGAACCGACCCACCTGCTTGATAATGAGATGCATGTCAAACTGTATCCTTCAATCCTTATCGCACTGCCCTCCACCGATATTTCATTTTTTATTTATTAGTTTTACTTTCTTTTAGTCTGTTTAAAAGAAAATATTTTTTTCTTTTTATTTGTTAATTTCATGACATGCTTAATATTAAAAGATTAAGTTATATTTTGATATATTCTGCCTATTTTTAATTTAAAATTATAAAATTTAAGAATCTTTCTTATTTTGGTAGGTTAAAATCAGACAAATAAATTAAAATAAAGTCGATACTAGTGTAACAAAATTTGAACACTTTGATCCATCTATTGTTCTTCCTGATGTTCCCTACAATTTTTTATATTTTTAGTGGAACGTGGGTTTTTATCTAATCTCTTCAGCTGACTGCCCGAAATTTAATTACATTATTGAGAAAATTGTATAAAATAGCAAATTATTAATTCAAATTAAATATTATAATCACAGTTTGTATTTATATAAAGCGAGAGAAAATTGTATATATAAATACAAATACATATATTTTCGTCATATACACTTATAATTATACAAATACGTATCTTACCCTGCCCAGTTCTTTTTTGCCTTTCTCTCTTTCTCGCTTTATACAAACACAGATTATACAAATTACAATGTATAATTTGTGTTGTATAAAGCGAGAGAGAGATTTGATATACAAATATTTTATTTCGATTAATTGTATACAAATTTAAATTTTATGCAGATATCAAACACATAAAATTGAATTGAGAGGCTGTCAGCGATTTATACAAACAGGAGGCTGCCAACGATTTATACAAACGACAGGCTGCCAACAATTTATACAAACGAGAGGCTGCCAGCGAAATTATACAAATCTAAAACTCCTGCCAGCGAGTTATACAATTTGATGCTCCATAGCAAATATTATGTTTGTTATGGAGCGCAATTATACAAACTATAGCTATAACATACAAATATGATTTTTATGTTTGTTATATGTGAAAGATGCTCTAAATTAAATTCTTGATATCTACTGTGAGCGGATGTTACACGTTAATGTAATGTTAGCGGCCAATTATGTAATTAATTTGGTAAGTAGCGACCCAAAATTATTATTAAGGGATGTCAATAGTTATGGTAAAAATATAATTATGAGGCTAGTATAGCTAGAAACTACAGCCTCAAGGAATTTTTACAATATTTTAGCCACTAGATT